GGTACACCATGACCAAGTCCTCAGCTGTGCTCTTTATCCTCTTTTTCTCTCTTGTGTTCAAACTTGAGGAGCCTGTGAGTGCTCCTTCTTTTATTCTTTTAACTTGTGCAAATAAACCGCTGACGGCAGAACACTTGTTTTATCAGCAGCGTAAATATTTCAGTTCTGGCTTCGTTTTATTTTGTGTCCTGCAAAGCCAGGCTAATGAAATTAGCTTTAATTAAATTTAGTTTGTGAGACCCTTGACGTTCTGTGTTTTTCTCTGAAACCAGAACCCTTTCCTGATCCTGGTGGTTCTGCTCATCTCCAGCGGTCTCTTCATGTTCACCTTCGAGTCGACACAGTTCAACATGGAGGGCTTCATCATGGTGCTGCTGGCCTCCTTCATCGGGGGGATCCGATGGACCCTCACGCAGGTCCTCATGCAGAAATCAGAGCTGGGTTCGTCTCGAGTTATTGTTAAGATAAAAAAGTTGGATATAGCTCGCTAGCAGCCTCACATCTAGGACCTAGTTGATGTCATCATTTACCCAGAATGCTTTGCATGTAAAGAAAATGGCCCCGTCCGTGTAATATATTTTTAAACTTTTAGTTTAAAAATTATAAAAACTGAACATCCTACAGTATTTTTACAGTCTTTATTTTACAGTTAAATTATATGTTTATTAAATAAAGTCTAATGTTACAACTAATCGGAGACCCCTTAAATAACCCCATAAATGTTGATTTAACAATAACAGTGAAGTTGGTTGGGCTCATTCCTTTTTAGTCAACTGGAATGTAATCCGGCCAGAAGTGTTGATGAGCGGAGGAGAAGGAGAGTTTTGGGGTTAAAGTATTTTCTGGCGAGTTGCCTTAAATCATGAATCGTAATTTATTTGTTATGAAGGGCTGATAAGCTTTGTGTACAACCAGAGACATGAAAAACACTGGAGTTTACTTGTTGATTGAAATGGACTTTAAACCCCGCCCACGTGCTGCGCCACTTTATCAGCCGGCGTTTAAAACGGGCAGCCCCTCCCCGCGCGGTGAGTGTCGCTGTCGCTTTAAGAAATCTGACGAACCGAAGGAAAAACCCGATGGAGGAAGCAGGAAGTTGGTCTCCGAGAAGCCTCAGCAAGTAAACAAAGAGCAGAGGGGAAAAAAAAAAAAACTATAAAAGAACACATAAAGTTTCCTTTTTGAAATGGCCGGTATTAAAGGTATTTTATTTTGACATTAGGGGTCGGGAGTTTTTAAGCTCTGTCGTCGTCTTGTAACTTTGTCAGCTTTTCTTTTTAATCAACTTGTTGAAAACATTTAAGCTGAATCATTTTCAGACATGTCAGCCGTGTTATTAAGTTATGATTTCACTGTGAATTTACAAGCGTTTATAAAGTTTATATTTGTGTAGCTGGTTTCCTCAGCCTGACGTGTTTCGCTTTTGTTTTTAAATTGCACAACAGCAGCTCTGCTTCCATAAATACGTGTTGAATAACTTCTCTCTGTTTTTAGCACTGGTAGGTTTGTCATTTAGTGGTGCCATTGGTCTGACGTTCCTCCTGCTGGGCTGTGCACTGGAAACCTATGGGTTAGTGTGGTTTTATATATTTATATCAGTGTGTACTGGTGCAAACAGTAAGTTTAATGTAGTAAAGAACTGGTTTTCCACACATGTTGGTGGATGTACCTGGGAAAAAAATAATAAACAGAACGGTTTAGTCACAGAGACCTGTTTGAACTGACTGTCAAGTTGAGATAAATATTATTTTAATACGAAAACTGGGAAATCTTTTGCAATATTGCAAAACAGTTTTGATTTTGAGATACTATATAGTATTACTTCCGCCGCTAAATGTTCTGCATTCAAATTAAATGGCCTTCTCACTGGATGTGCATTTTTTTCATCACAGGGTATACTGGCCGCTGTTTGTCCTGATTTTCTACGTTTTGAGCCCCATCCCAACCTTCATATCCAGACGCCTCAGTGAGGATGACTCCTCCAGTAACGCGTGCAGAGAGCTGGCCTACTTCCTAACCACGGGCATCGTGGTGTCGTCCTTTGGGCTGCCCATCGTCTTGGCCCGACACGGCACCGTAAGTTCTGCTCCTCAGTATTTAAAGTTGGTTTTCACACGGTCATCATAGCAAACGTATGTTTTTATTGTCTTCTGCAGCTGAACCTTGGCATAATTATCT